CTGAGTGCCCTCTAGTTCTATCATATTATACTACTTGAAAAACTAGCTTTCTACGGCGTTGAACTTTCATGGTTTCAATCCTACCTCTCAAATCGACAGTAAGAGTGCCAAGTAAATGGCTGTCTCTCCAATAAAGGTGGAATCATTTGCGGGGTTCCAAAAGGTTCAATACGTGGCCGATTTACCCAACTGTCCAAAGACAACAACACACTGTCTATAATTATACAAATGATACCTCTTCGTACGACCCTGTTGAGCTAGCTAATGATATTAACTCTGATTTAGAGAATATCACAGATTTGTTAAATGTAAATAAACTCCAATCCCATCCTTCGAAGGCTAAGCTTATGGCCATAGGATCTATCATGAACAATAATGTAATTTGACCTATTGTCTCGAATAAATGTTTAGAAGTTGATCTTGATGACAGATAGGCCTTTCATATCAATATTGAAGAAATATGCAAGAAAATATGTTCAGGCATAAGAGCATTGAGGAGAATTAAACTATTTATTCCCCAGAGGTCTGTTAATTGTTAATTGTTACATTTTATACATATCATTGATTCAACCATATTTTGATCATTGATAATTTAATATTATATACATAACAAAATTACTGTAATCTGATTGGTTAAGAGAAGTGCAATTATTTCATTAATTATTTATCTTCTGTAATCAGTGGCAAATACTGCAATTTCATTGGTTTACAGGAGTGCGATTTGAGCATTAATCGCACCTTTTCTGAGCTGTAATCGCACTCTTGTCCACAGCCAATGAAAATCAGTCTAGTATTTACACTAGCCAATCAGCACTCAGGATACAAACTTTGAATTTTATTTTCTTTATTGCTGTAAAAAAATTCAAAATGGAGGAATTCACAAATTTTGCCCTTTTAATTTTTAAATCAGCCCTCGAAAACCGTCAAAATTGAGGTCGGAAAAAAAATGCCGACCTAAATCTGACCTATCTCGGCATTTTTTTAAATCTGTTTCCATGTCTTGGAGCACTAGTAGCCTGCACTAGTAATCACGTATTTACGAATCATTGAAAAGTATAAATGTCACGAAGCCTTTTCTTTTAGAGTTTTACCTAAATTATATCATAAATATACCCGTTAATTCTTAAATCTTACACCAAAGTGCATCGAATTCTATAATCGCTGACTTTTTAACAACTATAAGAACCAAAAAGATTCTTACTTTGGCTGAATTAAGGTCGGCAAAACATTGCCGACATGGGAGGTTGATAGGTCGGCATTTTAATACTGAAGGTCGGCATTGCCAAATGCCGATCTCGTTTTCGAGGGTTGTTAAATTATATATTTTCTGACGAAAATGACCTACCTGTTCATCCAGCAGAAGACACCGAACTAGACACAATCCAATTCAGATGATTAATTGAACTAAAGAACTTCACTATTTTGAACACGTTATAAACATACAAACATGGCTTCCCAATTGTGTGTTGAATAATTCAAACAAATGTTGTCATGTGGTTATACCGGAAATAATGCCCGGAAGTTAATAATATGTTAATTTGATTATATATGATAAATAATAATTCAAAATTGTACTATTTCACTAAGAATTGTCGTGACAAAAATTTAATAATTATATTGAATTTCAACAAATTGTATTTTTCTGCTTTTCCTCCTTAAACAGTTTGATTACAGAAGATAAATAATTAATAAGTAATAGAACGAATTAAGTCGTACTATTAATGCCATAATCATACTCGTGATTAACAAATCAACCTCCCGCTACGCGGTCGGTTGATTTTGTAATCACTCGTATGATTATGGCATTAATAGCACTCCTATTCGTTCTATTACTATCATTAGTTGCACTCTCCAGGAGTGCAATTAATGATTTTTGTAATGACTGGGGGGGGGGGGAGCGGGAAATCAAAACAACAAAATCCAATATGGCGGCGAAATTTAAACAAGTATTTATAATAAATGTGGGCGAATTTAACTAAATATTGGCGCAAGAATAAGTTTAAAAAACATTGTATGGCAAAAAGAGCCTGTGGAAAATACCTGGAAACAGTCGTAAGAAATAATATCGGCGGCATGCAGCAAAACGTGACTGTGTAAGTTTGTGATACAATTTATAAAGATTTTCTTACTCTAAAATATGTTGTTTGAGTTTGAATCTTGTGTTGTAGTTTGAGTCATGTGCCTTTATGAGTGTAGAATCATTTCCCAAGTTTGTTTAATATATCAAATTGCTTACAAAAGAATTAAAAACTCTTAACAAAATGCAGTTGGATTTTAAAGAAAGCGATTTTTTGATGCATATAACAATTAAATAATCACACGGTCAAGTCGTGCAATTAATGATTAACACTACTCGTGATTTTTAAAAAATGCGCCAGTGTTAATCATTAATTGCACTCCTTCCCGTGTGATTACCTATATTATTAGAGAATAAGTTGCAAGTACTACAAAATCGTGCGGCAGTTGGAAGGTTAAGGATGGGATAGTCGACGTGTTAGGTGGGTAAGTAATTAAAGAATATCTTACTCGATAAAGTCCTTTATTATATACATCACAAAATTACTGCAATCTGATTGGTTAAGAGGAGTGCAATTATTTCATTAATTATTTATTTTCTGTAATCAGTGGCAAATACTGCAGTTTCATTGGTTTACAGGAGTGCGATCATTGGTTTCGTTTCATTGGTTTACAGGAGTGCCAATCAGCATTCAGGATACAAACTTTGAATTTTATTTTCTTTATTGCTGTAAAAAATTCAAAATGGAAGAATTCACAAATTTTGACATTTTAAGCGAGATATTTTCTGACGAAAATGACCAACCTGTTCTTCCAGCAGAAGACACCGAACTATGTTCCCTAATTTAACCGAAAACGACATTGAAGAGATTAAAAACTCAAACGTGAAAGTAAACACAGAGTGGTCAACAAAAACCTGGATGAATGCCTGGTCAAATTGGTGTTCAGCTAGAGGAATAAGTCAGCCAATTGAACTTTTTCCTTATGAACAATTGGATAAGCTTCTCAGCAAATTTTATGGCGAAGTTAAAAAGGTGAATGGAGCGGACTACGAACCAGAAAGCCTTCGCGTGATGCAAGCTGCAATTGATCGCTACTTACGTGACAAAGATTACGGCGAAAGTATTATTTCGTCAAGGCAATTTCATCAGTCTATGAAGACACTCAACGCTAAAGCAGCACGTCTCCGACAGCAAGGCATGGGTAAACGTCCTAACAAAGCAGAAGCACTCAACCAAAGCGAAGAGGAATTGCTGTGGCAAAACGGTTCACTCGGAAATCATTCGCCAGTCGCGTTGACAAATGCCAATTTCAAGTGTCTTTCGGAGCAAATGGGTTTGCGAGGACGACAGGACCACTACGACGCATATGTGGAAGATTTCATCCTTCGTAAGCACGACGATGGCTCGGAATCTATTGTATTCAATGAAAATCCCACCAAAACACGAAGCGGAGGCCTTCGTGTCGCAAAAAGAACCACGAAGCAAGTTATGTGGAGCACTGATGGCGGCCCTCGAGACCCAGTAAAGCTTTTCAGGTTATGGCTGTCCAAACGCCCTCAGCCGATGCGAAACCAAGGCCCTCTGTATCTGACTATAATCCAACGTCCAAAAAATGACGATGTTTGGTATACCGAGGTACGAATGGGCCAGAACACAATTGGGAAAATAATGCCAAGAATGACTTCGTCGCTCGAGAGCTCAACAGCGGAAAAGTTGACAAATCACAGCACGAGAAAAACAGTTGTTCAAAAGCTGAAATCTGCTGGACAACCACGCTATAAGATCAAGGAAATTACCGGTCATGCATCAGAAGCATCTCTAAATGATTACGATGCAATCAGCGAGGAAGAACGCAGAGAACTGTCTCATATCATCAGTGGTTACAGTGCGTCAGCTTCGCGAACAACAACCTCAGTTCCCTCGATCATATCGTCTTCCACAGCTCCTAGACCAACCGAACACGATACATCAATTGTTCCCGTTCAAGTCAGACAGTAAATTGCATCTGCATCCAACGCTATCCTTCGCCAAGAAGGTTTGTTGAGCATTCCCCCCAGTGTTGACCACGATGTCCCACTTGTGTCTGCCAAAAACCCAGTTTCCTCATCGCTAGCTTCGGTTAATATTGCCTACAACAACTGTGTTTTTAATATTGGAAACCAGACGGTGAACACGGATAATTCAGCTGCCAGAAAAAGACGTCGAGCGGTTATATTTGACTCAGATTCAGATTAACTGAGCTAAAGAACTTCACCATTATGAACACGTTATAAACTTGCAACATATGGCTTCCCAGTTGTGTGTTGACTGTTGAATATTATTAAATTCAAACACTGTTGTCATGTGATTATACCGGAAATAATACCCGGAAGTTAATATAATGTTAATTTGATTATGATAAATTTAATTCAATATTGTACTATTTCACTATCAGGAATTGTCGAGACAAAAATTTAATAATTATATTGAATTTCAACAAATTGTATTTTTGTGCCTTTTCCCCTCAAACAGTTTGATTACAGAAGATAAATAATTAATAACTAATAGAACGAATTAAGTCGTGCTATTAGTATGGGTAATAGCGTGGTTCCGAGTGCAATTTGGATATAACATGCACGAGTGAGTTTTTCAAATACCTCAAAATAGCATGAGTTCGAAGGACGAGTGCCATTTGAGGTCTTTGAAAAACTCACGAGTGCATGTTTATCCAAATTTCACAAGAAACCATGCTATTACTTATTAATAATTTACATAAAAATGTTCGAGACAATTGTAGTTTTAACTGGCAAAGATTTCCTGGCTTTGTTTTATCACATTATACAACGCTAACAGCTTGAAAATTCCACTCAACTGTGTATTTTTTGTTAGTCTTGTTTAAGGTAAATGCTTTTCCAGTTAAAAATAAAGATAAAAGCCATATTTTCCACGTGAAGGCAACTTTTACTTTGTGTAGCGCGGCGCCATGTTTGTTTTGTTTTGAATCAATCTGTGACCGTTACTTCTTTAAAACTAAACTGCTTTAAACTGATTGGTTGATTTAATCATCACAATGTATTTCCACCAATCAGATCAGTTTGTTACAGATTTTTGCACTTTGATTACAGAAAATTGCACTGTGATTACAAAAAATTGCACTGTGATTACAGAAAATTGCACTGTGATTACAGAAAATTGCACTGCTGTTTGGGATTAACTGCACTGAAGTCAACCAATCACAGTCGAGTAATATCTTTATGTATATTATTAATGATGGTAAAAGAACGAATAGGAGTGCTATTAATGCCATAATCATACGAGTGATTACAAAATCAACCGATCGCGTAGCGGGAGGTTGATTTGTTATCACGAGTATGATTATGGCATTAATAATATACATAAAATATTACTCGACTGTGATTGGTTGATTTCAGTGCAGCCTGTTAATCCCAAACAGCAGTGCAATTTTCTGTAATCACAATGCAATTTTCTGTAATCACAGTGCAATTTTTTCTAATCACAGTGCAATTTTCTGTATTCACAGTGCAAAAATCTGTAACAAACTGATCTGATTGGTGGAAAAACATTGTGATGATTAAATCAACCAATCAGTTTAAAGCAGTTTAGTTTTAAAGAAGTAACGGTCACAGATTGCTTCAAAACAAAACAAACATGGCGCCGCGCTACACAAAGTAAAAGTTGCCTTCGCGTGGAAAATATGGTTTTTATCTTTATTTTTGAATGGAAAAGCATTTACCTTAAACAAGACTAACAAAAAATACACAGTTGAGTGGAATTTTCAAGCTGTTGGCGTTGTATAATGTGATAAAACAAAGCCAGGAAAACTTTGCCAGTGGAATGTTCGCTAGAAATGCGTAAGTTAAAACTACAATTGTCTCGAACATTTTTATGTAAATTATTAATATTAAGTAAAGTCATGGTTTCTCGTGAAATTTAGATAAACATGCACTCGTGAGTTTTTCAAAGACCTGAAATAGCACTCGTCCTTCGGACTCGTGCTATTTTGAGGTCTTTGAAAAACTCACTCGTGCATGTTATATCCAAATTGCACTCGAAACCATGCTATTACCTATACTAATTGCACTCTCCAGGAGTGCAATAGCGTTGTCCGCAATTGACGTCACGAAAATTCGACCCCCCGCCAAGACTCAGACAAACATTGGCAACAATTAATATAAATAGTATTATGATAAAGAGCTTGCAGTGAGTTAGTTTGGTAGTTTGGTGATTTGTTTACAGTTTATTTGTGCAAAATCATACACACCTTGAGCTTTTCGCTTTACCTGAAGTGCCAGTGCAAAATATTTTTGCTTTGGACGTAGAAATATAAACTTTTTCGTCGCTTTAGTATCGACTGTCATGTCGTTTCTATTAATATAGGCGGTGTTACTGTTAACTGTATTATAATAGTACATGGTTTGGCGCAACTGTTGCTATAAAGAAAGGGTATGCAAAAGAAAGGACGATAGAAAGTCTGTAGTAGCAGATATTTAACGGAAAAATCTTGTAGTCGTACCAGATTTCGTAGCCGTAGCGAATCAGTTCTAAAGTTCCCTATTTAATGTTGTTGATTTCATGTTACTAACTTATAATTATTATTTTATTACTTTATTTAATAATAGCAAAAGCCAAAGAAGCTAGGATTGTTTACTATAATCTATTGACTATACATATTCAACTTATAACATACGGATTTATTAGGAATGTAATTACAATTAATACTTTCAAATTTAAACTTTTTTATAAAATGTCAAAGATAAACTATACAAACTATATAAAATCTCAAATATAAAACCTTCCGTTGACCAGTAAAAAAAATATTTTGCTTTGACAATACAACAAAAATACAGTATGTTATTATAAAAAAACAACATTTTAATGTACCTATTTTTAAGTATTCAGTTTTGTAAAATAGAGAATCGCCCTTTAACACTGTGTTTATAGCCTAACACTGTCTAGTGTCTGGTTAAACTATTGCTTCTCTCACAAAATTAACAACTGACTCTCACTGAAAACGACGGCGTCTCAGAGTCAGATATTTTGAGCATGATCCATCTGATTATATTGTCGATTATTAAAACTCAAGCGGTGGTTATGTAGAGGCTTATAGCAAAGTGGTAAACGCCAAGTACTTCTTCAGCAATTTAGTGACTGCATTTAATAGTTCGGGAAAGCATCGTTCGCTGGGTGTATTGACGGGGGGAAATGGTTAGCTGCGAAAGTTCTTGGACAAAAACCAGCACAGTCCGCAGTCAATAAGAATCAACACATTGCTACTACAGACATTCCCGTCCAACTTTTCAATTGTCTGTTTCGGCAATTATTCGAGTATTTCGAATCACTTGGACATCATCCCCAGCAACAGAGCTTAGCATTAACCATGTTTGTAGTTTGGGATAAATTTGAATTCGTTTTAGAACAGATGGGGTGAATAAAAACGTCAATTTAGACCAATTTATGTTCGCTGCTAGTACAATTCTATACAAAATGTTAGTTTGTTTGTCTGAGTCTCGTGGGGGGTCTTCATTTGGAGAATCTATTTTTAGCTACTGCGGACAACGCTATTAATGATTGTCGTGATGGCTGGGGGGAGCGGGAAATCAAAACAACAAAATCCAATATGGCGGCGAAATTTAGATAAGTATTTCGAATTTGGGCACAAGAGTGGGTTTAAGAAACATTGTATGGCAAAAAGAGCCTGTGGAAAATACCTGGAAACAGTCTTAAGAAATAATCTTGGCGGGATGCAGCGAAACGTGACTATGTAAGTTTGAAATACAACTTAATATAAAGATTTTCTTAGTCTAAAATATGTTGTTTGAGTTTGAATCTTGTGTTCTAGTTTAAGTTAATAATAATAATAAAAATCTTTATTTTGGTAATCCTTAGACGCAACAGACGTGTGTCTTTACATGATTTTGGTTACAATTTTAAAATATACTATTTACTATATTTACAATATTAATATAATAATTTAAGATAATTTATACGCATGCAACAAAAACTAAAAATAGTCAAACAGACACCTATTTACAAAGGAACGCTTAAATTTTTCAGTTCTGACTTGAGGTAGGATGAAAGGATGATCACGTTTTCTTAAATTTTGTCTTTTTTTCAGGCAGTAGTTCATATAAAATATGTTCTGGATTATCTAAAATCCTATTGAATAGAGTTCTGTCTCTCGTTTCAATCAGCTCAGACATTTTATACTCTTTCAGTACATAACCATATCGATACGCTCGTTTAAAAAACTTGTCAATGCGTTCTAAATATTTCTTTTGTAGAGCTGAGCCCCAAATTTCAATACCGTATAAAAACAACGATAGTATTATTGAGTCAAAAAGATAGCTGAGATGTTCCTTCCGATATCCATACCTTCTACATACTCTTAAAATATACATTCGGCTTCCGGCCTTCGACAACAAGCCATCAACGTGCAGGTCCCAGCAGCACACATTGTCCTCGAAAGTAACACGTAGCAGTTTTAGCCATTCCTTACGTTCAATACCTTCTATAGGCGCTGGTGGCGGCTTAGAAGTTCCACCACTCAGAAGCATCTCCCATGTTTTTGATAAATTTAGAGCCATTCTGGTTCTCCTTGCCCAGTTCACGATGTTCCTCACTTCCATTGTTGCAGAATCACAATTTGACTTTACTGGTGCACTAACTGTCATATCATCAGCAAATTTAACCAATACGTTAGTTTCAGGTTGTTTGGGTTTAATGTCATCAAGCACAAGAGAAAATAGAAACGGGCCAATGACGGTTCCCTGTGGCACTCCCTTGTTAATATCTACATGTCTTGTTATAATTCCGTCAACCACGACCCTTTGTTTTCGATTCGTCAGAAAAATTATAATCCAATTGATGATATAAGGATTTAGGTTTGTTTGTTTAAGTTTTTCAGTTACGATATCATGTGGGACCGAGTCAAAGGCTTTTCTAAAATCAAAAGATAAAACCCGTACAAACTCGGCATCTTCGTCCAACCATTTCAGCCAATGATGTTGACATTTGATAAGGGCTGATGTTGTATTTGTTCCTTTTTTATAGGCAAACTGATCATGGCCAATGATTAACTTAGAGTGTTCTAAAATTTCTTCCCTAAAAACAATTTTCTCAAAAAGTCTCATGATGATATTAGTCAATGATATGGGTCTTAGCTGGCTGCAGTCTGATAATGTTGACTCTTTTTGTATTGGGCTAATATTTGCGAGTTTCTAAAGCGAGGGAACGTGCTGTTCATGCAAGGAAAGATTTAATACTTTAGTAAGTACAGGTGCAAGGTAGTGAGCGTAGTTTTTCCACAGCCAGTATGGAAGTCCATCATGGCCTGGCGAAGTTCGCTTTTGTTTCATCATGAACGTTTCAACTGTTTGTATATCAACCTTCGGGATTCGAATTTCTTGGGAGATTGTTAAGAGTTGTGGGGGTGTATACTGAGTGTTCGTATTTACGCATTGAAAATAGGTGTTAATAATATTTGGATCGATGGAGGAACTAATGCTATGGGATTTTATACAGACTGCTAGCACAGTCGTCGAGGACGATTAGGCTATTCGTTCCTTCTGCGAACCGAGAAACATATTCTAAGCACAGATTTACGTCGTTCTGTTTGCACGGCATAGCAATAAAGTCCTTATCTTTATTGTATTTCCAGTCCTAGTACGTTTTATTCCATTCGTATGTGGGACATATTAGGAATATGTAGTCGAAGGTGATAGGTTTTCCCGCATCCGGTCATTCCGAAAATGATCATGTTGAATGGTGTTTCCAATGGTTCCATCTTTTATTTAGTAGTTTATACCTTAAAGGGTCTTTCCGCTGATGTTTATAAGTCCATCGGATAACACGAAAATGTTACAGAGAATGTCTTCGGTCATCACGACGGTTTCGATCTCCAGAAGAATTCCGGGATTATCGCCGGGAAGCTTTTTTCCACTTACAACGGCATGACTGTCATCGACAGCTCTCAGATCAACGACCAGTGCGAATTTATTTTCGTAGAATTCCCTAACGCATATGTTGTCGCTACAGGTGTTACTGGTTGTTTCAAATAGTCTTCTTGCTTCGTCGTGGAAATTTTCTGGTGTTAAACCCTGACTATATACAGCATTCGGCTTTCCTTCTATCGTGACCTTTACTTTTTCGATGCCTGGGAAAATGTATTCCTCGCTGTCAGTTATTGTCCTTTTTCTGAAGAGTAGAACAACGGCTCTCATACTTTCCATCGGACCGTCTATCCTCTCGTTGAACCTTGTGGCGTTCTTTGCCCACATGGTTGTTTTCAGCAGTGTTGTGTGTTCGTAGGATAAGAATCTACCGACTTCGTATCCTTCGTTTACTCGTTTAGCCAGTTCTTCGTTCTCGAGGGTTTCGTATTCCAAATGTATGTTTTTCAGTGTATATCCTTCCACCTTCTCGCTCGTTTGTGCAACCATAATCTTGTCGGCGTTTGGGAGAGTGATAATGTACTCGAATCGACTCTTCATGTTGTACGGTCCGTAGGGACAGCGATCGTTGAGAATTTTTCCGAGTTTCTTTTTCTGTTCTTTGTATACCTTTGCCAGCACCAGACCATAGTTACCTTCCGTCTTTGCAGTTTGATCGGCACTTTCGTCTTTTGACAATAGCTTTCTTGTATTCTCGTTCATAATTCCGTATTCAATCATGTTTTCTCTTTTTGTATCCGTCTTTCAGAGATCTTTGTAGACTTCGATAAGACTTCCACCGTTATTGTCGTATACTATCTCACCACCTACTCTTACCACGAGCCGTTCACACAAGAGTTTGCCGAGGTTATTCATAAACCAGGATTTGGTGTTCTCGCTCTTGAACTCGTACGACAGGCGGAACGAGTCCGGAACGATACAGGTGTTCTGTTCCTGTTTTGGGACTACTATCCGGATGTCATTTCCGGGATTGGATTCGTTTGAGTTAAATGTGACGAACTTACATACTCAATTTCCTACGACATTGGAGGTTGACGCTCATTCGAAACCGGGCGTAAGTTGTTGACTTCTCTTTTCCATAGTTTTATTATATAATATATATTTTAATTATTATTTTTTTTTAACTTTGGTTTGGGCTCGTCTAGCACCTGTGGTTCGGTTATACGGTCGGACTTGTCTGCAGACTTGGTTTTGCTGTATACGTAATGGATTCCTCCTAACGTAGCTGTTGCAACACCGACGTAAATTAGCTTGTTTACCAAGTCGCTCTGATCCAAACTACTTTCGGTGTTGTGTCTTTCCGCCGCATTTTTTGCCTTTGCTTCCCTGGATATTGCGGCTAGTCTTTTACCTGCTTCTACCCTTTTCCGATTCTTTGGTTTTTGAGTCTTCTCTACTTTTGTTATTATTGGTTCACTCATCCTTTATTTAATATATAATTTTTTCTGAGATAGTCTCAAGGTAATCTTAAGTAATTTAAGGTCATCTCAAAACTATTTAAAGTTCACTTAAAATTTCTTTAAAGTTACTCATAATATTTCTGAGCTAGTTTCAAGGTAATCTTAAGTAATTTTAACTTTTAAGGTTATCTCAAGTTTACTTAAAGTTTACTTAAAATTAGCTTAGGGTTACTCAAAACTTATTTCAATAAACACTTTGTTATATAATGAAAAGAAACATGGATCTTTTCAGACAAGCGGAAAAGGAGTACCTGGATTTCATGGGTTCAAAAAAGTTGGAGGAACAACAAGCGGATACCGAAGTACCCAACGAACAGTTTTGTTTTGAAATGCGCAAACACGATTTTATAAACGATCATGGGGAAAGGACGTGTAAGAATTGCGGATTGATAACCGAACCCGTTCTTGTTTCCAGAATGGATTGTTGGGACTCAGCTACTATGAGGAATCCGATTAGAAGTAGTGTTAAACAAAGGTTTGAGAATTTTTGTCGTGGGAGGGGTATAATATTTACCGATTTATCAATGTGGGATGAGAATGAGATCATAGCAAATATTAGGAAGGATTACAATGCAGAGGAACCTAAGAGGAAGACACTCCCTAACCTCAACATTCTAACTTATCAAATATGTAAAAGACACAATATAGAGATAGATGAAACGTTACTTAAGATTCCAAAAAGCAAGGCTCCTCACGAGCGGTGTGGACAAATATTTCAGACGTTAGGCTGGGACTATATCGATTAATTTTAATGCTTTTTTTAACAAGCATTAAAATTGAAGCAGTAATTTTAGGGTGATGATGACCAGAAGAACCTCAATCGTTATTGGAATGAGTAGGCAGAACATCAGACACATCCACATTAGTCTCCGTAATATTTGGGTTTTCGTCATTTATTCTAAGGTACTTTTTTACCGTTGTGCTAACGTATCAGATTCGGGTGTGAGAATATATACCGATTCCGAAACTGAACATTTTTCTTTTCCGATGGTTTTTATCGTACTTCTGACAGTTGTTGGTTTCAGGTTTTGTGAGTAAACATCCCATTTTGATTTATTCTTCTTTTTGTTGTTGGTCTTTGCTCACCGTCGCCGCTTTGCCTTCCTTAAATGACGTAACGTATTTGATGTTGGTTGTTTGGATGTAACGTAACCGAGATTCAATCCACTTCTGTTGAGTTTTACATCGACGTTGACGGTCTTAATCCTTTTTTAATTTTCCCTTCACCTTGCTGATGTCGCTATTCATTCTTTTATTAATACGAAAAGATAATCCACCTTGAAGTGATGATTCCACCAACGAACATAGTACCGAGGTGATAAATTAGATTGCTTGTTGGTTTTGGTATGTTTACCGTGTTAAGATGCGGTACGAGGTTTTGGTCCTTGCGTGGTGTAGGATTTGGACTTGTTGTTTTTGACTGCGTCTCTGCCTTTTGAGTAATTAACATCTACATTACTGCCAAACTTCATGTCCTTTGTCGCTAATGTCAATGTATTGTTGTATCATGCTACTTTTTCCTTAAGTATGATCATATTGGATGGTATTAATATTAATCCGGGTGATATTGCCATGTTAAGCATAACGTTAGTATCCTTTATTGCCTTTCTCACATTGGAAAAAAATACCGATACATCGTCTTGCGCAATTGTGTCTGTGATATGTTTGTGAAATACGTCCTGAGTCTGCAATGACTTCGCTCCTTTACGGACGATAGACCAACGTGTTTGTGCTTGCGGACCTAATACGCAATAGACGTAACTTTCGACAGATTGTTGAAGTAGTTTTAGTCCTAAGGGTGTCAGTCCGTCGGATTTTTTAGCTATGAATTGGCTATAACCCGTATCGCTGTTGTTCACGACTTTGTCTACTTCCTGCTAACTAATTCCCTTTATACCACCAATATGGTAGTATGAATATATATAGTTTCTGACCCTACTTTTTTCTGGAAGTCTACCATGCCAAAGACCTATTTTTGTTTGTCCTCGATGGAATTTGTTAATCCATGTTTTCCGTGTAGGCATGGTTTCCCTGCAAGAACTTCAACATATCTTTCGTGACGTACTTCGTCATTTTTGCTAGGATTTCTAAGAAACCTACGCATGTGGTAGTATGGATGATATCTGGCGTTACTTGTGATTACCTTAGAGGTTCCTTTGCTTTCCAGAAGATGTTCCGTACTTATTCCACACTTGTACGGAATAATGTAAACAGCCAGTAGCGATGTAAATATGGATCGTTTATATAACTAAACTTTACTTTAGTGATATCCTTTGCGGTACCGGTCCACTTCGTGTCGAGATCAGCGAAGTTGGAGAC